TTTAATTTTGCTTCATTTATTTCAGTGGAAATTATATATCTAAATAGTTTACAGGCGTTTAGAATAAAATAATAATCTAATACTCAAAGCAACAATTCATAAAATATAAAGTATTATTTTACATATAGATAAAAAAATTTTAATTTTAAATTAAAATCATCAAATTAATCAATTTTTTAATTCAATTAATTAAAATCATTTTTGACTAGAGCCTTGCAAATCTCAAGAACGACCCTGATTATTACACTATTAATAAAACATAGGTCCATCGCTTAAAATCATGAGACCTTGTTCAAAAAAATGTTGTGAGATTTTGTAAAAAAAAAAATACGGTAAATCATACTAGAGCCAAAAATTGTTGAGCGCTAGTGAAAAATTTCTTGCTACGTGCTTGTCAATAAATTGTATCGTTAATCATAACGCCATTACTAGTGGGAAACGCTCCTGTTAACACGTTAAAAACTTACAGTCATAATTTATACATTTTTGACGCCGAATGAGTGTGTGGGCGCTTGGTTGTCGCAAAGATTCCAAGTATACTAAGTATTACTTGTAACATTAAGTCACATAACCATTTTTACTAAATATAACTTTTAATTATGACAGTGATTTTTTTATGAATAATAATTTAAAAAAAGCTTACTATCTGTTACAGTTCGTATGGATAAATATTATACTTTTAATTATCGTTTCGTATTGAAAACTATGAATAAAGTATTAATATAGGTTTTGTTACGTAAAGTATATGTTTTACACTTAACTAACCATATAACTTTAATAATCGTTATAACTTCGATGGAATTAATATAAAAGAAAGGCAACCGTTACTTTCTTGGTCCATTATTTCTTGAAAAACAACTAAATAAGGCTAACGACATCCGTTCTCATAAAGTGTTATCGGTGTTCAAATGGTCTTCAGCCGTTTCTCATTGTAATAAATATATGTGACTTATAAATTACACAAGACAACAGCGATATTGCTGTCTACAATATTTAGATGAATCCTATAAGGAACTTTAACGCTAAATCCTAATCTGGCTTCAGATTTTTTACATCGCTCTAGTTTTTGAGATATCTATAGTATCTCTCTTCAATTTTTTGAGTGGTTAAGAAAAAATTCTATTTATAATGTAGAGAAGTAGACTTCCAACCCAATTAAAAAAAAATTTTATCGAGAATATAGTATACTAAATTTAGGGGATTATAAAACCCTTGCTTTTGAATTCACTCTATATTAAATTGAAATCAATCCAAGAAGATAGTCTTGTTTCTATTAAATTTGTCCTCCAGACGATAAGTGTGAATTTTGTTCAATATTATTTTAATACAATTGTTATTAATAAATTCGATACTAATGTGCACACTTCGCATTTATTTTGTTTTAACATAAACATTCGATACCTTGCAAACATCCATTTAACACAATATGCTTAAAATTCAAATCGATAAATATGTATTAAAGCAATGGCTATGTGCTAAAGAGAAGGTTATTCTTGATAGCGTGATGAATTTAAATTATCAAACGTTTATATTATTTTTAAAACTTGGCGATTTTATGAAATTTTAAAAATAATATTTATTCAAATGAAAGTAAAGTAAACAAATTTAACAAAAAAATGTTTGTTTTTCATCTATCTTTGATTATTATAACATCCAATTTCAAGGTATTTATTTAAATTAAAAATCATATGGTTTATAGTAGAATAAATAAAATTCATGAACATAAAAAACAGCTATTTTTGAGAATATTATGAGTTAATAACATTATTAACTAAATTAAACATAGATTTTTTTGTGTATAAAAAATATTTAAATATATTAAATTAATAATAATAGAGTTGAATTTTATGAATAACATATCATAAGATACTCTCTTTTGTGAGTACTAAATATTCGTCATATTAAATATATAAGATATAACAATTTTACTGCATTAATAGAATAACTCATCTTTTAATACTGAGGTATACCTATTTAAAAATTAATAATGTTGTACTTTTTTTGTTCTTAAAAGCACCCACAACAATTTTGAAAAATTATATTTGTGATTATATACAAATATTTATAAGATGGTATATTACTTTTCACACCTCATCCTGGTAAAATTTTAATGTTAAGAATTACTATAAAAAAAACAAAATCCACTATAAATTGTATAATTTTTTAAGGTCTTAGGGTACTTTTGATACAGACCATCTTCTTGTATATATAATCCTATTTATAAAATGAATTGTACTAATCAAAATTATCATAAAAAAGTAATACTTGAAAATTCAAATGATAATGTTTATGCTCAGCGCTACACGGGTCACTAGTTATCCATTAAGGAATCATTAACTAATTTGTTATCCAATAGCATTGACAACTAAGATTGCGTCGGATTCCAAAAAGATAATTATAATAAAATAATAACCAGTTTCAAAGATTTACTTTAGATATCTTAATAAAGCAGAATGTTAAAGAAAAAAATAGAAAAGGATAGTGGCCTAAATTCTATAATACAAAATAAACACAAAATTAGATTTAAGAAAAATAAAAACTGCTTATCATGTTAATTTTTAAAAACAACAATGTAATGTAACTTCCACGTAATGAGTGTCAATTTTACTATGCTATAATTATAGTACTTATACATATTGAAAACATGACACAACTTATATTTTAAAGTTTACAGATTTTGAAAAATCCATTATATTAGTTATTTCTTGCTATAAAAAGTAGTACAATCATGTGTTGTAATAAAAATGTTTTAGACTGTTGAATTTCAATGAAGCCACGAAAAAAGTATGACCATCTTTACCAGAAAGATAATCAGGACTAATTTAAGCTATTCGTAAGCCCTAGACTCTAATTGTAGAATTAATAGCCATTTTTTTCGATTTCTACCTCAGAAAATAGTACTATTAAAAAAATGAGTAAATACGATCACTAGAAAATAAAATTTTAAGACCTTAAAGACTATAGTATTTAATGGATTTTACGACCCTGAAGTTATCAGGTATAATGTAAATTAAAGTAATAATGTAAATTAATTAAAAAAAAAACTGTATCTACTTATTCTTTAGACAAAAATTATTTTATTAATAAATTATACATTTTTGATAATTATATAAAACAAATTTTCAGTTAAAAAATATCGAAATAATGGTGCTATGAGAATATGCAGCATAAATATTAATATAAATATTTAGTTTAAACTCTAGTGTTTTACAAAAACATATTTCAAATATATCAAATATCCATGATTAAATAACTAAAAACTATTATTCACTTAAAAACTTTCATGCATTTCAGGTGAAAATTGAATAAACTATAATTAGTTATACTATGGGTTTTTACAACAAAACTTCTTAACGCTGGCTAGTTGGGTAGAAAATAAAACAAAAAAATTTGTTTGTACATTCCTTAAATGTTGCTACATCATTCATATATATGCGATGATCTTAGGTGAAATGCTGTGTTCATATTAAAAAAATTGCTTCTAATACAATAGTTCGATAAAGTACAGTTAGAGAATGAAATGACGTTGATGCAAAATTATTTATGCATTACACAATAAAAAAATTTCATTAGGACACCGCCAAATTTTTCAGTGAGCTTATTTGTTTGATAATTATGAAAAGATCTTTTTTACCCCATTGGGAAAAACGTGCTGTTTTAAGTAAGCTACTGTATTCCAAACTCCTTAAAAAATTGTTTAAATGTGGTTATTCTGTGTGTTAATTTTTTTTATTTACATTTTTTATNCGTGCTGTTTTAAGTAAGCTACTGTATTCCAAACTCCTTAAAAAATTGTTTAAATGTGGTTATTCTGTGTGTTAATTTTTTTTTATTTACATTTTTTACATTTTACTCATAAGAGCAATATAGTGGAGTCTTAGGTTCTTCAAAATATACTATAGCCCTCCAACAAATGGTCAAAATGACGTTTATTTTTATATAGAAATATTTTGAGGTAAGGAGAAATTAAATGAGATCTCCAAAACATTATGTTCAATTTGCGCCATAAAATAGTTGTAAATACTAGTTGTTAACTTAAAAACAATTTTTTAATTTAATTCTATGGAAACCGTATGTTAAAAAACACAGTAAGACTTTCTATATTTAAACCGTTAAAATTCTTGTAAAGGTACCTACATTAGTAAAAATAATTAATTATATGTTTTTATTTACTAATCATGATGTCATTATTTACCTATGTCTACAAATCTATTGAACTCGATAACTATTTTAATACAAGTATCTGATGTGAAAATAATCATTACATTATTTCAAAAATTAACTGTCTCCATTCAATCATGTAAGCTTCCACCCTTTAGTTTTATATCGATTGTACCCCAAATTAATAATTCAACTTGTGTGTAGTACATTTGTATCTAAATACATAGTTGTATGTAGGTATTATAAATTTATTATAGATCTATAAAAAAATGTCAATGTTAACTGATTTTATCAATCTGTTATATTGCATATGTAAATTAAAATAATTGGTTTGGTATTCTTGACTTTCCATAGAACAAAAATTGTTTTCTCTATTTGTAAGCTCGTGCGACCGTAAGTAATAAAAAACCGTTAATATTTCGTATGTGTATAAGCCATTTTTTATATCACTGTTTACCTGTTTTGCTTCCCTTTCAAATTATTTTTGTAATAGAATGCAGCAGTTTGTCCCTAGAGATAATGTTTTCCGTTTTCTCTTACCCTACAAAATTTTCCTCCCATACAAACGTTCATTATAGCAATAATTATGTATTAATAAACAATATGATTTAGCCATTTTATTATGCGTGCGGGGTAAGTGCATTTTTTGTCCGAAATTCTACAACCAGCACCTGCCACGGTTAACGACATTTAAAGGTGGTGTATCCTCANCCACGGTTAACGACATTTAAAGGTGGTGTATCCTCTGTCTCTGTAGGTCGCAGTAGCATAGCGGGGGCGGGCAGTAGTTGCTGGTACGGTGTGCGGTAACCGCATTAACGCTTCAACCTTATACCTGCCATAGAGTAGACGATTACCGCGGAGAATCGCCACTCAGACGTGACTCGACTGGGCCGGTTGTAGTGCGCGCGTTGTACACGAGTTCGTTAATTCGACAGAAAGTGTGCGTTTTTATTTGTTTTTAAATTGTTAATTAAAATATTCACAATTTTTTCGCTGTGTTGTTTTATTATCGTTGTATTTGACTAAACGGGCTGTTGATTTTATTGTTCGTTTTATAATAATTATTATTCGGGTGATAATACATAGTTTTGAAGTTGCATGTTAAATTATTAACGCTCATTTAGGATTAAAATATTTCAATAACATCAATGGATTACTAAAGAGCAGTATTGAAGTGAGTGCTTATTTTTTAACTTTTGAAGCCATTTATAGGATAATATATTTTTAGTGAATCATGTGTTAAAAAGACCATACTAAGATACTCGATACTAAAATTACAATTTTGAATTAATCGTCAAAAAACTTGAAATATTAAATTTTTACATCCTTATTTTCCTTTAGTATATTTAAAAAGTAAATTAAATATAATAGTTGAAAAGTCAATTAACATTTTTTATATTTAGCAGTGATGTATCTAGAAATGTTCTATGAGGCACTTAAAATAAAAACAAATTTATTATTTTTAAATTTATTTTTACCTAAAATGTAGATTTAGTACGATCTACGAGGGATCTTAGCCATTTTATATCTCAATGAATACCCCATTTTTATACAGTATAAAATAAACATTTTTGGATATATGAAAATAATTTTCAATTTTTCTAATTATAATTATAATAAATACACTTTTTAAACACTTAAAAAATGGAATTGTTTCGTGAAAATTGTTAGAACAAATAACAATGAATCATTATAAAATTGTAGATTGCGTGAGAAGTAAGTTCTTTCTAAAAATCATTCAAAAAAATTGCGAAAGCTGTATTCATGCCCTATGCGATGCCATTTTCAGTTTATTTCATTTCTAAAGGTTAAAAAAAGAACTATCTTGTGATTTATTACGATACCAATTGCATGCGTCCTAGTTATTTTAACTGTATATCTATGGGGTTAGTATTGAAATTATTACTATTATTTTTAAGTTAATATGGAAATGTTATTTCTAAAGGGTATGGAAGACTAACGTTTTAATAAAGAACTTAATCATATAAAATCTACACATGAACGAAACTGATAAAATAAGCTAAATAATTATAAATATATATATATATATATGTTTCCGTGATTTATGAGAGTTTTAGTAATATATTAAAATAGTTGAACATTGATAACATAACATTGTAGTATTTATACATTTTAACCTACTTCCACCGTTCTAGTTTTCTTGAATAGAAAAACATTACTTCCCAAATATTACATAGTAATTAAATTCATCTTAATTCTTACGAAACTTGTTGTTGACAAATCTTTTTCTACGAATTAGTTGTAATATTTAAATTTTATCGATGAACTATTAGAATTAAATTGAAAATGTAAGTATCACCGTTAACATTTAACACACTATGGTGATATTGTTAAATACATAAATATGTAAATAATGAATTATGCAGATCCAACGAGAAAGCCAAACCCTCTCTTAGTCGTATAGCCTACTTAGCTCTAAATGTTATCTTGTGTTGCATTAAGAATTTTCTAATTGGATTGTATACTTGCTGGGATATACAAGTAGTGTAATTTAAAACAATTTTTCAAATAAATGGAACTTATCAAATATTACTTGGATTTCATTTTGCGCACTTTGTTTATCTTAAAAAACTAAAAGATTCAGTGTTAAAATAAAAAGTAAAGATAAATTCCAATATTATGTAAAGAGTAAACTTGGGATTAATTTATTTTCGTAGCGGTAAGAATTTTACTATATGTTTTTTTTTGTGTCTGTTACCACTTTTTCTCAGGTTTCACCGAACCGATTTCTTTCGACGATACGTCAAAAGATCATAAATTGTATCTAGTCGAAGACATTACCCTCAAAAAGTGAACAAATTTCCCTCGTTCCCCGTTAGTGGGGAAAATCTCCAAAAAAATTACATATTTAAAAATCGTTAATTTTCAACATTCTTGCAATTGTTTTTACTTAAAACTGCCATAACTTTATCAAAAATGAACATATCAATATAATTTTTTTTTTAGGTATATTTTTATTTGTGTCATATTTTTGACCAATTATAAAATAACAATAATTCAATTACACAAAAAATAATAAATTTTCATCTATTCATTATTTACATAGTAAAAGTCACAGTTAAATCTTGAAACACACTATAATTATTGTTATATTGAAAACATTTTTAATTAGGGTATTATGGATGTTAATAATATTTCCCATTAATTTCAGAGGGGAGGTAAAGGTTTTTTTTTATACACTGATTTGTTAGTTTAATCATTTCTTTTCATTATTCTATGTTCAGAATTTTTTCTTAGAAGTATTAATACATGAGTACTCTCTCAATAAGGGTGCCCATAAGTAATTTCTTGGGAAGTAATGTATTTTTTTGTTTTTAATGAAATTTTTTTATTTTAAATTTAACCATATTTTAGGGTAATTTTTAAATCATAATTTTAACCAACTATATGCTAATATTCCGAGTGTACATATCCGCCTTGCAACCTCTAATAGATTCCATTGGTACTCAATAGTTTGATTATTGTGTAGACTCTTGAGTTACAGGAAAATGTTTATAAAATATGCATTTTCTTTATTTTGAAAAAACAGTTTTATTTAAAATAAATTAATTAGTTTTTATATTATATATTCATGGTCATATTTTGTGTAACTAGATCTAAATTTACGAATACAAATGTTTTTAAATAAAAATAGCTCTCAACAGATTTAATTTAATTTTGTGTCTATTTAGATATATTATTAAATATAATTTTTTATAAAATCATTATGTTCTTTTAGTTTGTTAAATAAACAAATATTGTGTTATTATATTCAAGTTTCATAAATCTAAAATTGTATGAATTACATATGGCTGAGTGAAATTGTTAAAAGATTTATGTAAAGACATTTTTAGAGCGTTTTCAAATGTCTATAATGTTATGTATTCTAAGAATAATAAAGTTTTGTATTAACATGAAGCTTTTTAACTTATAGAACAAATTAATACTCCACTTAAAATAACTGTACATTATTACAAATGAATACTTGGCATTATTCCAACATGCAGCTTATATTTTTTATTTAAGTGGAATGATGTATTTGATAAACAATTTAATTATGCACACGATTTATTAAATCCTTCATCATTGTTATTACCGATTCTCTCAATTGTATTTATACTGTGTGTATAAGTTTAAAACTTATTCATTTTTGGAAGCATTCATTTGAAATAGTTTATTCTATATTGCACAAAAACAAATGTTTGAATAATAATTGCTTTAAAATTTAAATGTATCATAATAAAGTCTATATTGTATGTACTATGTGTCATCGCGTTTTCGTATTCACGTTTTTGTCAACTTATCGTTCGGAATATTATAAAATTTTAATATTTTTGATACTATATGAAAATGTTTGCTTTTAATTACAGTTAATATACAAATTAAATAAATTCAAATTTAATTACAACAATTATAATACTTAAGTTTAGGAAACAGTTAAAAGTTTTACAATAACATATAATTAAATTTTTATAAACCATAAAATTATTCTTTGTTTCTCTCTGTATAACTTAGTCAGGTTTTAGTAAGTATGACTAAGATTAACATTAGTCGGATCGCATAATTTCGCAATGCGGTCACCTGAAATCATTGAAGACTTCCTATGACGGGTGTCCATTAAGTATCTGTACACATTATAAATTTGCTATAACTAATTAAGAACTATATCGAAAATTGTCAAAAATACCGATATTTAACAAAATGTCACTTAACCTTGAAAATCAATTTGAAAATGCCAAGAATATGCATGTTAAACTGAATGAATGAAACACGGTAGTTATCGATTCTACATTGCATGGGAAAGTTTATGTGCATAATATTGAACTCGGTATACAACGACCAACACAGCCTCAGGTACATATCGGCTGTAGTGGACCGGATCAACCTACTTATATAAATTATAAACGTGCACGCTAAATCCACCGGAGATACAACATTCCTCCACCTCCTTCCGGATATACAACAACACCGGACAAGTTTAATTATTTTTCATCGACGCGACGTCAAAAAATGCTTTGGTCGCACCACTTTCTTCACATACTTTTCTGTCATTGAAAAAGTAATCAGTAAAAAAAAATTTGCGGCAAGAATCTTTCAAAACTTTAGGCTGCAGGTATCCCGTTATCCAATTTATTTTATTTATTGTTGTTAACAGAAAAAGATATAGCATGAAAAAAATGTCCAAACGAACAATACCATCTGCTGTAAACACAGGTGCTTGAAAAAGTGATATCCAGTTCATAATTTTTTCCCCAACGGATAGCGCAACTGTTTGTTACCGGAAGCCGTATCTATTGATCTTGATCCAGCACTCGTTTCTGCCCCTGCCAGTGTGTCATATACGTTATTATAGAGCTATCATATACGTCATGTATAGAGCTTCATTAACGACAATGCGTTGCTAAAAGTTTGATCGATCAAAATCAGTGTTATAGCCAAGTTGATTTCTAGGTTAACTGAATGAATATGTTCTGTAAATAAATACTTGTACTAGTGACGCACGTAGATGTTTTTGACAACTAGGAAAAATCGGTATCAAGCACGCACAAAGAAATTTAAGTCTACTCGGTATAACTTACAATATGCTTAAAAAAAGTTTACAGTCAATGAAAAATTGATTTCAAGGTTTCGATCGTGAATTTTACTATTAAGGTACAGGACAGACGTTACCTATATTATAAGTTGCATGTATTTAAATATTATTTTTCTTGTATATTTTAATCGGCTTTTTTTTTATCATTGACGATTTTTAAAAACTGGTTTCGAACAAAGCAAGTACTCAAGTAAATAAAGAGGGAAATAGTAGCATACGAAAATGTGAATGTTTTATAATGTAAAACTATGTATTTATATTAAAATGCACGTAGCCCAATCTATAAATAATCGAACTACTGAGTGATTTTAGTAATATGAGTGTACATATTTCACAGAACTAACACAGGTTGCTCAAAATCAATGTCGTCAAACGGGCCTCAGTTGTCATATTTATAATTTTATATTTAATTCATACTACTGTTACACTATTCCCATTGCAAAGTCGAAAGCTAATTTATCAATGTTATTTTTTTTACTTGATTTACGCTTCAGGTTTTTTTTTTTTAATTTTCAATTTAGGTGCTTAATATTTTAGCAATGGTAAATAAATACACTTTACAGTTAAGTTAATTATATTTA